ACTTAAAGCGTGGTAGAATGTGCCCCTTTGCCGAACCAATCAGCCATATTTTTTATTGCCTGACTCCGCTCTTTGTGAGCGGGGAATGTCAGAAGCATGGTCGCGTGTTGTAACGGATGATGCATTAGCCATTGGAAATGTCGGAATACCTGCTGCTGGACCTAGTTTGGCGTGTGTTGCGCCCTGCGTGGCTGCTGCGGGTTCGGCTTCTGCAGTAAATGCAGTAAGTATATCGGCAACAAGCGATTTCTTCAAAGAAGCCCAAGATTTTTTTTGTGATGCATTTAGTGTTCGGTTCTACAAATGACCGCTTGTGCTACATCATGTTGAGTCATCACGGACACCTTCCTTCACGTGTTCTGTTTTAGTGGTTCTCATGCCCCTGTTAACATATATCTCGGATTATACCTTTCAAGTCCTGTCTCGTCAACGTAAGTGCGCTGCAACCTACACTGTTAAAAAAACCCCGTAAAATTACAGGGAGCGCCAACGGGACCAGAGCCGCTCGCGAGCCGTCGTTGCCGTTTCGCCGTAAACCCCTCCACCGCACCCGAACGAACAGACATAGCCGGCGCGCTGCGCAGGCGCAGTCAATGCAGCCCTTTTATTCGGAGAGGCGGAAGGTCACGTGAACTTCTTTCCCGCGCTCCCGTGGGACGCTGTCCGCGTGAAGGCACCCCTGGCGCATGCGCAGTGAGCGTGTCGAGGCAGATCCCGCGCAATTCGGCGACTTTGTGGACGTGTTTTTGGTTCGCCGCATTCAAACCTGGAGATTTCACGGTAAGTGCATTACATCCCCTTCCTTGAACTGTTTGATGAATACCTGTCGCACCACTGTTTTCTTAGATGAGTCGAGCAGTTGTCTGGATTCACTATTATGCATTGCTCGCCACAAGCGTGTGCAGACGATGTGCGCCTCGCGCTGGAGGTGCGTAGCGTTTAGGGTAACGGGGTCTTTGCCTTGTTGCTTTCGAGTGTTACTCTAGCATTATCACGAGACGTAGTGTGTCGGTGTCCTACGTTTTTCTTGCTCCCTTCTTAGTTAAATATTATTCGGCTACGTGAAACGCTCTTGGATTAGCGCGCTCCGCTGGAAAGGCAGAGGTCCCTGGTCCGGTTCGAGGACCATGCACGCCGATTTTTTCGGCAGCTGCTTGTTCGACATAACGTGCTGTTCAGGTGTAATTTGTTTCGAAACATGCAAAGCGACACAGTGCAATGAGGTTTCAAGTGCCCACAATAATATACTGTATACGTTTGACCGAAGTGTAAAAAACTAGTGCCAAAATTCCTTTTTTTTTTTTGTTCGTTTGTGCCGAGCCGACATTTAGCTTCCGTGCACTCTCATATTGTTACGGTAGACTTGTGTGGATTTAGGAAACTTTATATTGATCGATTCGACCTTCGTGTCTAACACTGCCAGTACTCAAATGCTTTGCAGTACGTCTTTAAATCCGCGGTCTTATTTTTTTTTTTTTGAGTTCGTTGAGTTTAGTTTTCTCCATTCCTTGGTGCGCTACTGTGTAGCGACGGCGCCGGACTCTACGTAATGAGTCATGACTGAAACACATTTGCGAAAAGCGGCCAAATTGTATGAAGAAATCGCAAACGAAAATCAGACAGCAACTCCTATTGCCTTTTTTTTTTTTTTTTTTTTTTTTTTTTTTTTTCGGCGGGGAAACCCGGAGGGGGACGGAGCGATGTCGCAACGTTACTTCGGGAGTTCCGTCCGTTCCGTCCCTCTCCGGGTTTTCTACGCTATGGCGCAGCCGCGGCAGCCGCCGAGGCTGGTTGAGTGTTTCCGCGGTTTTTGATCAGCTTTGTACGAAGACTGATTTTCGCCAATCTTTGTCGTGTTACGTGTATGTGGTGAACGGAGCATTGCGGAGACTGAGAATTATGTGGGCTGTTCGCTGTGTTGTGGCATTCGGGCAAAGCAAGATCGCGGTGAGTTCGCTCGTGTACAGTCGGCGGTAAAAGTTTGCGGGGCGCGGGAGTGTCAGCCGAAATGACTGGTTGCGCCTTCTGCGGCGCGCGGCCGCTCTCAAGATTCACGCTTCGAGAATGTGCTTCCTTTCGTGCTCGAAGCCATGACTTTTTCGCTCGCTTCCGCCCGACGTGCACGAGATAACCGGGGACCGGCGCAAGGTGCCGCTATGACAGCCATCACGCCGCGCGTCTGCCTCAGCCGCCGTGGTGGGTGACGAAACTCACGCATGCTACAGATAACATTTCGCGGCACCTTGCGCCAGTCCCAGTTATATATCGTGCGTGTCGAACGGAAGCGAGCGAAAAAAAGCATGACCGCGAACAAGAAAGGAAGCGCGTGCGCATAGCGTGAGTCTTGGAGCAGCAACGTGCGTGAGAAGGCGCAGCCAGTCTTTTCGGCAGGCGCTCCCGTGCCCCGCAAACTTTTGCTCCCGACTGTACGTCGGCCGATGCTCGTGTCGGTGCACATCTCAGTCTCAACTAAACATCGAGCGCCGATTGTGGCTGACTCCATGCATGTAAGAACGAATTAATCTACCAGGAACTTCGTGAATAAGAACCAGGCAAGCGTGTGGCTGTAGAAGGATGTCGTGACCGGTGGCATACGTACACTGGTTTCCGCACGTTGCTTCTGTTTACTTTATCTGTTGTAATAGCAGTCTTTGTACCGGTGCGTGAAGGCCTCGGTTGCTTCGAAAACCAAAGCTGATACAGCCAGTCTCTTTTTATCCGATGATTCTGTCAAGTCCTAATCACGGCGTCATATATATATATATATGTATGAGTGCACGTTTGGTGTTGTTTGCATTAATTTGACTGCGGAGGACGTTGCCTTTTGCGCGGGATCAGTCTTCTCGTGTAACTTGTCTCCCAAATTTGCGTGCAACAATTTTTGCACCCTCCGATTTCCGTTCTATATTCGGTTTCTTTTCTTGTAAATGTGTTTCAGCCTTAACATTTTGCCGCGGCACAGCTCTGTTCAGAGAAGAAACGGTCTCAGCACAGCAGGGTGCACGAAGCGCGTCGTGTGTTTAGAGAAAAAGAAAATGAAATTGGGCAAGAAATGATTTGGTAACTGCACCGTAATAAGTGGCTGCCAGCAGTGGAAAAAAAAAAAAAAAAAGAGATATGTTGCCTTATACAGGGTGTCACAAATGAAAATTTACACGGTCTTTTTTACCGCAAAAATAAACTAGGCATCCCCGAACGCTCATTTTCCGCCCAAAGGTAAAGCTAGAGGTCACAACCAGATGCCAAAGTTTCAGCCTGATCCGATAACTTAATCAAAAGTTATAAATGATTTTCTGATAATTTCAATGGGAAAATGGAGCCCATTTTCGCCCGTTTTCGGTTTCTGGTGCCATAGAGCCCCATGTGTTTGAAAACTCCGTCGGCCGCCATTTTCCCATTGAAATTTTCAGAAAATCATTTATAACTTTTGATTAAGTTATCGGATCGGGTTGAAACTTTGGCATCTGGTTGTGACCTCTAGCTCTACCTTTGGGCGGAAAATGGGCGTTCGGCGATGCCTAGTTTCTTTTTGCGGTAAAAAAGACCGTGTAAATTTTCTTTTGTGACACCCTGTAGTTGGAGTTAAGTCATCTGCCTTATTGTAGTATTTGAGGTAGAAAGGAGAACAAACTAGATGCCTGGGCCGGCTTGCAAGAGACAGCGTCTCGGTTGAGACTGCTCAAAGAAAGCGCTGCCAAGGCTCGGGCGCGCGAGCGTCTAGGACTTGGTTTAAGCTCTAGCACTAGCCTTGACAGCGCTTTCTTTGAGCAGTCTCAACCGAGACTCTGCTTCATGCAAGCCGGCCCACATATCTAGAAAACCAATTTTCTGCCCCAAAAGGTGGTAAAAAAAATGTGTCACATTACTGTGCAATTGCGGGGCGTTAGCGTGAAACATTTTCGCGGTAGACTGCAGCGCAAACAAAAAATGGAAAAGAGCAAGAAAAAAAAAAAAAACAGTAAGTCCAGCGCGAAATGCTAGGGAAAGGAAGGTGGGAGTGGAGGAAGCAGATGGATAGCTGGCAAGGAGAGGAGGAATTTCCTTGCCAGCGTTGTTTACTTACTCCTTTCCATGTTCCTTTCCCTTGCCCTTGGCAGCACTTTAAATCAAATAGCGCTGCGTCGTCCTGGCTTTCATTGCACTGCTCAAGCTATGAATGACAAGGCGCTATACCATTCCAGCCGAGCTCTGTTCACCTGACCTCTCAAGCTAGATGCACAGAAGCGAAAACCTAGCCGAACGTTTCACATGACAATTACTGCGGCCATTCATATTACTACTGCCCAATGTCAGCATGCTAGACTGTAGCTCCTCATGGCTCGGGCAACCTAAAAGAACACGGAAACATAGTTTTGTATGTTAAGACTGGACGACAAGACGACACGCACGCTGCAGGTGTAGACAGGCTGGTGCAGGTGTTCTATCTTTCTGGTGTAAATAGAAACATTGCCTTCAGATTAACACAGAACATTGAGGATGGCTGTTTTGTACTTCAGTTTAAACACAATGTTAGTTTTGAAACTTAATGAAAGCTCACGTTAAGTGCTAATCCTTACTGTGTTAATTTCTAGATAGGTGTATGTTTATGCTGTGTGTCATTATCTTCACAAGCACAGTTGATTTAATGTTCACTGACTTCAGTTGTGGCAGGAATAAAAAAATTTGGGGTCAAGGATTAATATCTTTGGATTAGGACTTCGCCATGATTGCTTCGAATATTGGTAATGTTTCAGGTATCTTTATAAAAATGCAAAGATAATGTGTTTAAGTACAAAATTGGGACAGAAAAATGTTTTTTTGCAGATCTTGGGACTTAAAGTAGACCTTCTATCAGAAAAAAAAAAGCCAAATTGTTCAGCTCTCATGTCGTCTTAGGATATTGTATTTCTCAGGGTCCCAACAAACATGTTCAATATTAAATCAACTTGAAATAAACCAAGCACTCCTTTTTGGTTATAGATGAGACATCACTGCAAAAGATGCCAGAAAAAGTTTACATCATTGGACACATTCTTCAAGCACACATTATATCATGAAACATCATCAAGAGGTGTTCCATGCAGCGTTGTCGGCTGTGAGGCTGCATTCAAAAATTACAACTCATTGCGAAGCCACATCACAAGGTGTCATTCTCCGCTTGCACCTCGTAATGCAACTAACTTCCAATCCTGCCGGACATGCAGTGTTAGTTCCTGCAGTGAAGAGGTGAGCCCTGGAAAGGCTTTTATCGAGCACCTCAAAAAACATCTCACCGGCAACCCGCCAACTGTTGTAACTTGTCCAATTGATGCGTGTGATAGCCAGCTTAGGACATGGGGTTCACTCATGACCCATCTTTCCATATGCCATGGGAATGGAAAAAAAAAATCAGTGGTGACAGAGCCAGTAGAGTAGGATGAAATAGTGACGTCATGCTGTAGCAAGGATGACAATGCTCTGGAGAACATTAGGGAAAAACCAGACGTTGAGAGTGAAGTGCCTTCAGTCATTGATGATGTGGATCCCACTCACTTAGATCAAGACTCTTTCCTTTTTAAAAAGGCAGAATATGTTCAGTTCTTTGCAAGAGTCACTCACTCCTAAAACAAACATACACTATTATGCTCATAAAAAGGTGCTTTGAACGACGAATACGATTGCTACTTTCACCATACAGTGGTCCTTGCAGATTTCTTTCCTTCAATATTTTGCTTTTCCCAAAAAGGTATTTTGATTACAAAGATTTTGGATATGAGGAGTCAGTGATAACATGAATTTTTTAAGGCTTACAGGTGTCTGTCTGGACGGAACATTGAGCCTGCCCAAAGATGTCCTCCTCCTCGTGACATTCCTATGTTCAAGCCCCAAAAATGATGCTGTGCTCGAGTGGAGCCTCAAAATCAACAAGGCCGAGGCAGAGTTCAAAGATCAAAACGCAGCAGCTGTCTGCCTCCTCCCATTGCTTGCATCCTACTTTCAAGAAAACCTCGGAGAGCTCTTCCAGTTACATCAGGTAGGAGCATTCATAATAACCAGGTTATTTGTTTCCAAAGACACATCCTCATGACCTTGTTGAAAATAACTTCCTGGAAGTCTCACACAGGCAGTCAGCATTCCACTGAGAAACTATGCATCTGGAAATACTAAACTTTTCTTCATTTTTTGAAATTTTCAGCTATATCAGTCTTCCTGTATACCGTAACATACCGGTCATGCACCTATGTCCGAATAGGCGCCTACCTAGTGATTTTTAACCATTGGAGCAATGCCTTGTACTCTTTCTGCAGTTTCGCTTTCTGAGCGACCATCCCCCCACTTTTTCAGAACTGTCTGCAAAATCTTTGTGAACGCTTTCTTGGTATCTGACGACAATGCTGATAATGAGCACGTAAAAAGTGAAATTACTATTGCTCTACGAGGAGCCAAACCTTCCTTAATCTTTTCCTGGCTGAGGTGGCTCAACTTATTATACTTCACTTAGAGTGCAATGGGAAGATATGCAACTCTAGGCTGGGTCATCTTATAGTATGTTCTACATAAATATTTCACTAAACCAAAGGGGGAGCGGCGGTGGGCACCCACTCTTGTACCACTTGCTTCTAATGGGTTCACATGATGTTTTGCATTTTTGGGATCGAGTGTTAGAGTTAACACAAAAATTGTGCTAGAGAATTAACTAGTGACAAACGTTTGTACTTCCACTTCGACTCCTAAGTTAGGATCATTTGTTTTTAATATTAGCAGCTTCCTTGTCCCGCAGGTGTAACAATGAGGCTTTGTGACAGATATCAGCAGATACATTGCTGCTTATTTAACGTTGTTTTTTAGTTGTTATTGAGCGTTAGGACAACAAATGTTTGTAGTTAAAAATGTCCTATAGGTGGGATGAAGGGTTAAAGGAAATAAGGGTGAGATGAAAATAAAGTGGGTGAGACGAACCTCTTTCACATAAGTGAGGGGTGAATGGAGAATAGCCTTTTGGTATTCCTGAATACCCGTGGGATTAACAGACTCTTTCAAGGTTTGGGGTTCTTGCATGTGTGGGCAGTACCAGGAGTGCGCTTCTGTGACTGTGACCTCGCAGTGGGCGCATAGGCTCTTGTCTTTTTCCTGTGTATGGCGGCTTATGCACCATGTTCTTGTGGGTGTTACATTTTGCTGTTTCCTTGGAAACCATAGTGGTGTGGGTCCGTTGTCTTTTCAGGCGAACCTCTTCCCACCTGGTATAATTACCATCTGGGAGTGGGTCTAAGTCTTCTTTGAGTAGAGCCGTGAGGTGTTTTCAGTGGGCCTGTTGTTTGGCTTCCTGGGAGAATAGGGGATCCTTTGTGTCTTTTTCAATGAAGGCGGCGCTGTTGTCACCAAGGATAGTAAGGATAAGGGAAGACAAAAACTCGCATGCGGCGGCAGACACTGTTTTATTTACTTGGGAATGGTTTGGTGTACCAGGAAGCAGTGGATTTAAAGTTGTCGGCCTTCCTGCCAGAGTCCTTTAAATGTGCCCCACACTCGTCGTGTGTTATCTCGGAGCTTGCACCTCAGTTGTTTACGGAGCTTCTGGGTGTATTTTTTATCTTCACCGTGCTTGCATTGAAATTGGCTTGGAGTTTTCAGTCCTTATTTCTCCTGTAACATTGTTGGGCTTGCAGTCGGATAGCACACAAGTTGAGGAGATGAAGGTCGGGGTCTGGGTCGTCTTGTTTGGCTTGGTACTTCTGAGTGGATGTGGCTTTCATTATTCGCTCACCTAGACACTTTTTCAGGTGCTAGGTTAATGAAGCTGATCTGTCATTTAGTGTTGGGGTGTCTTTCTGTCATTAATTCTATTTCGACGGGTAGGTGCTTGCTTCCCAAGGCGTCGGAGCAGTTCGCACTCGGGCTTGGATGTTGTGTATGGCCCATGTCAAGTCTTGGGGTGTCGTTCTCAGTGCGACGTTTGCCAATGCGAATGGCAGTCTGTTTTTCTTTGAGAATTCATAGATTGGCCTGCTTGGCGGGTGTGAAGACATTGCACTCTCTGTCATTGTCTCGCTTGTATCCCCATATTCGTGCATCTGCGGTAAAGTCGCCGGCCACGATAAGTTCTTCGGGCATCATTCTTTGCGATCCGCCTTACGTCGTCTTGCTTGTGTCCCACAGTTCTACATTCTGTGGGAATAAATATAGACCCATAGATGTATGGTACCTTCACTAGCATTTTGTGCATTTCTCAATTAACCACACATGTTTTCTGACTTTTCTTAGGTGACAACAGAAATCACAGAGGAGTTTCGTAACAGTCTGCCTGCTTCTCCTGTAATTGTTGCACTGGGTGAGCGTCATGTGTCTTTTCCTTGCATGCTTTGTATTTTTGAAGGTGCTTTCTTTTTTAATTTGTGTTGAATTTTGGAACAACAACCTAGACCGTTTTATCGTGGGTTGTGCCATTTTGAGAGTGAGAGAGAGAAGAGGGGTCAGTGCAGATGACTCCTAGTGACTCAATTGTAGTGGGATACTGTAGTGGTGTAACCAGAGTGCTGGAATACTGCAGTGGTGTAACCAAAGGGTGGTGTGCCGATTTTGACCAGAGCTAGATAGACGACCACATTGTTTGGTTTCGGCAGCCTTATCAAGCACCAATGTAAAGCACATGTCCTGGTATTATACCATACTTTGACAATCAATGTTTGATTGATCCAGCAAGAAAAAGAGAAGTTTTTATTTTGGTTTGTGAGTGAAAGTGCCACAAAACGGCATACAGCCCAAACAGCAGGTGCCTGTGAGGCATTTGATTGTTTGGGCCTGCATTCTGTGTCTTGTCCAACCCAAACAGCCAAATTTTCTGCTCGTAGAATGTGGGGTCGCATGCGGTCTCCGGTCATTTAATTTCTAGCTAAAGCAATTTAAACGAAACCGACGACTGGCATTGCACGTTGGCATCAGACTTCCATGCTACTGATTCTGTTCACAAACTCAACAAAAAGTGTTTGATTCTACATGCTCATATACAAATTTTTTGTTTTGTTCAAACCTTCAGGAGCACTTTGCATAACTTAATGTCATTACTGGGTATGGTAGCTCAACACTATTTAGTGCGACCCTTATTTGGCTTGGCATATAAGGTGTGCCTTATCTGTGATTGTGATGCATCTCAGTCTCAGATATGCGTCACAATCCTATATCGGTGTGCCTACCTATTCAGTGTCCCTGCTGGTAATACCTCTATAGAAGTTTCGAGATGCGAATATGACAATGGTATTTTTTTCTTCATTTAATGCGTGAGCGTTAAAAGCCCTATTAGAGAAAAAGCCGGCGTAGTGGTGTCGGTCGCATGACTTTTCTGGTCACTTGACTAGATAGGTCGATACATCTGATACTAACACATTTTCTCCGCATTAATTACATTAATCGCTTGTTTCTTTCCTAGGCCGCTCACTTTTCGAATGCAGCTGCCAGCTGTTTGTGGACCATGAGGTGATGGTGGAAGATGTGGGCTTTCTGCAAGCTGTGGAGCTCCTTTTCGCCCTTTATTATTGTTTAAACATCCAGTATGCCAAAGGTGCGGGAACCACACTTGAGTTCATTCAGAGGTATGGTTTATTTCCTTGATAATTTTGAGCCTCATGAGAGGCAATAAAGAGCAACTCTGCTGAATTTTGGCTGAGAAAACGATTAGTTCTCTTTATAATCATCTAGGAAGGCTACAACTGAAATCTTTCTGTATATAAAATTGGACCCTCAAAGTTTGACAAGCGCTAATCTGCTAATTTTAGCGAGCGATGTGCAGGCTAGCCAACTTTGGCACTTCCTTCAGATGTGACGTCATGTTGATGTCTGTTGTATACACCGGCTTTTTTCTCTTTCAACGCCATCACATGTCCAGTCAGTTCAGACAACACTACCTAGAGTTGACCCAGTGAGTGGGGTAAATCACGTAATCATGCATCTGCCATGGACATGAGTGTGCATGCAACTGACGTCGCTGCTTGCTCTTTGCCGAAGTTTCGGTTTCAATTTGCGACTTGAGTTATAAATAGCAAAGTTGCACAAACAATATTCTACTTTTCGTGAAACAATGTAGAGTTGTTCATGAGTGCTTTTCAAAGTAAGGTCATCCACTATCTTGAAATTTTCTAAATTGAGTAGAGTTGCCCTTTAATTTGTCACTGGCTACCCATATTTCCAAGCTCAATTTCAGAGTCCATTATTAAACCACAATAGGGTGTTGTATTCTTGGACCACAGAATGAATAAAACGTGCTCGGGACGAAGGAGACGACAAACATTTCTTTCAACTAAGAACAACAGGAATGAACTTAAGAGCACTCCGTGCAATTCAGACTGCCAAGAAAATGGAGAGAAAGGGAGGCAGGAAGATAAAAAGGAAAGTGTAAAGTTAGAATTGTAACTCATGCTGTTACTTCACTCTTTTTCTTATTTCCTTCCTTACAATTTTTGACACTTGCCTTTCTCTCTTTCTGCCTCCCTTTCTCTCAATTTCCTTGGCGGTCTGAATTGAAGGAAGTGCTTTTAAGCTCATTCATGTTGTTAATTAAAAGAAATGTTTGTCGTCCTTCGTCCGGGTATGTTTTGTTCTTTCTGTGGTCTGTGAATTTTACCAACACACTCTTCAGTTACTTTAAAGGTTGTTATATCTTGCATAATAATTCGATTTAAAAATTTCACCTAATGTTACAATGTGACTATGTTTGATCCTATCCCAGAAATCACAAATAAATATGTCAATATATCTACTATTCCTATTGTTTTATCTTTACTGAATGTGTTATTTACTTATAATTCTATTTGGCATTCAGTTAGAAGGCAGAGTCATAAGCAGTATACATCATTAAATTATTTTTGGCTGGAAACAAATTGGAGCCTCAAAATATGTTTAATATACTCAGCTAATTATTTATTTAAGAGTTTCTTTACTGCACCACACTATTCTGTATCACTCTAAAAGTGTCTAGAAGTGATATGTGCAGATGATCTCTAATTCATCTAATTCATAACTAAATTTGACTGATATACAACCTTTTCACAACTTTTTGAAGCTTTATTTCTGCATGTTTTAGTAGCATGTGGTTCATGTTTGATTTTGTACCTGAATACCTTTTTCTCGTCTTTATACATGTTTATCAATCGTATGTTCTTTCGACAGTGGGTGGCCAAAATGTGGCTTCCTAAAAAAAGAGAATGATTCTCTTACAACATTCCTTTTGCCATGTCTGGTGCTTTTAAGCAATCATTAACAGCTAGTTGAGTATTTTAGGTCATTCAACTGTCTGCAATACTAATTATGCAAATGAGTGCTTGCTTAATTACGAGTAGAAATGCAGAGGAGGAATTGCTTTGTGACTGTGTAGGACAACAGACAAATTTTAATGCTGTATTGTAATAAAAGAAGTAAGCACGAAGCAGGGATGGGCAAAATACATGCAAATATGTATCGAAATACAAATACAAAATGCTTCGTCAAAAATGTATTTAATTACAAATCTAATTACTTTAGCAAAAAAGTATTTAAGTACAAGATACAAATACAGAGAGAAAAGTAGTTGGTCTCTTCCAAATACTTTTCCAAATACATTCCTTAAAATTTGCGTCAGCGACTTCAGGGCACCTGCAACAGGTTTCTGGGTATCTCATTTTAATTTTGCATCGCACACTCGGGAGTTAGTGCTCGAGGCTCTAGTAACGTAATACAAATATAATCACAAAAAAAATATGTAATCAGCTTGGACGTAATAGGTGAAAAAAGTACAGAGCTTCAAGCAGTTTTTTTTTTTTTTTTTGTTGATTACATTTTGTTATAGACAATCAAAGGACCGAGACGACCAAGACGCGCAGCACTAGCTACAGATTTTTTTATTGTTGCAACTCGCACCAGTTACAAACATCTGGATGACCCGCGCATTTAGAATGTTCGAGGCAAAAGTATGGATGGAAATCAGGCTGGAAAGCATCACAAGTTGTCACTGTCACTTATTTAGCCAGTCTGCCTGTGAACGTCGATTTCGTCACTATTCTTTCCCTGGACTAGCATCGTAATTACAAAGTCACAAAACGCTTGTGCTTGATTGAGAGACACTGCATTCGGTGCAGAACGTAGTTTTCTTCCTGCTCTGGACAGTGACAATAAATTTGAGGGATGTATTTTCGCCCACAAAATTGTATTTAATTACAATTGTATTTGAAATACACACGTTTTAGTATTTAAATACACACATCAAATACATTACAGAATTTTTAATTAAATACAAATGCAAAATACACAAAGTATTTGAAATACGTAGTTCAAATACTTGTATTTGAAATACTGCCCATCCCTGGCACGAAGTATGTACTTGTTCTTCTGTTTATGTCGCTGCTATAAAATTTACTTTTGTTTGCTTCCAAAGCTTGTCCCAAATGACTCAAATCAATTACATTGCTGTCTGTTCAATATCTTTTTAAATCAACATGTTTTTAGTGTTTTGTAGGTCTAAAAGTTGCATATATGAATCCTACCCCTTAAGATGTGCCACATGGGGCTTATAACTTCTGAAATATTCCGAGTTCTGTATCCCCATCGCATCTGAGTGAGGGAAGCCTTGAGTGCCAGATTTTCTCCTCTGTCAGAAAAATGACACATTATTACAATATTTTTTTGTTGTTCCCTCATTGTTTTATTTTCCTCAAAATCTAGGCATGAATTTGTACCTTGACATATTTTCTTTAAGTGCACAGTGCACAGTCTGCTGGCCTAAATGTAGGTTTTGCTCAGCTTGTTATGGCTTAATTGTTATTTCAGGAACCTTCAACACACTTATACATTTGAACTGTGCACCTATGTGACTTTGGTGGCAAAGCTTAGGGCTTTCGACATTAGTTGTGCATGTAAAATATCAGCAAGTACTGATCCCAAATCCTTCACTGCAATTTTTTTTTCACTTGTCTGGTTTCTGACCAAATACTTATGGGCCAATCTGCTATTTGTTTCAGATACCAGGTTGGTATCAAACAACATGATGGGTCACGACAGGAGGCCGGGAGGTCGAAAGGAGCTCGGGCAAGAGCAATCAAAGCCGCCACAGATCTTGCTGCTTTTGAGAAAAAATGGAACAGTGTGAGTACATATTTGATTTGGCATGTGTACGATGTGGTATCAAAAGGTTTCCAGTCTTGTCTTGTATTAAAAAGAAAAGCAAATGGCGGCACAACACTGCATTCACAGGGGTCGAGGGCAGCAACCTTGATCTGTCATGGTGCTGAGTGGCTCAATGTGGCAATGCACAGGCGAGTTGGTGCATGATTATAACTGGTAGCAGCATGCAAAAACACACGGACAAAGGGACGAATGCACAGGACTTCGGTGTTTCCTTTTCATTAAACATTTAGTTGAAGTTCAGCGCTCGCCTTGTGCATTTCCTCCCTTTGTCCTTGTGTTTTTGCGCGCTGCTACCAGAGGCTTAGAGCATCGCTCTGTGAGCTTGGGAGCCCCTGCTGTACAGGTTTTTGTGACTTCATGTGCGTGCGCCTCTGCAATTTGTGCAAGTGGTTGTGGTCCTCCCGTAGCCTTTTCAATCATCTGAATATGAATTTGTTTTATTTTCAGCTCATCTGATGATCGATCGGATGCCATGAAGGTTTCTTTATAATTATGTTCTTTTACGGTTTACAATATAGTTCTTCAATTTCAAAACTGCCTCCGTTTTGTCTTGTCCCTTTTTTCAGACACACTACACTTGTTTATAAGGATTTGTCGTTATATTACGGAACTGTACTGCGCTAACTCATGATGCCAGACGTTATCTGTAACCCTCCGTAATACTACCAAGGCCGTAGCTGAGAGTTCACATTATTGTTACTGTACAGCGAGCACACAGCGATAGAAGTGCAGTACGCAAGTACGGGATTAAAGCTGCAAACTAAACTTGAGGTATGCAAGCCGTCAAGCGTTCCGGCGGTATTGAAGGCGTAAGGGAAGGGTACGGTAACTGAACTGTTACCGTTACAATACGGCAATGGAAGTGCAGTATGAAAATACGGGACTGAAACCGTACCCTTCCCTTACGCCTTCAATACTGTCTGAACACTCGACGACTTGGATACCTGGAGCTAAGTTTGCGGCTTTAGTCCTGTACTTGCGTACTGCGCTTCTATTGCTGTATGTCTGCTGTACAGAAATGATAATGTAAACTGTCAGCTACGGCTTTGGTGGTATTACGGAAGGTTACAGATAATGTCTGGCATCATGAGTTAGCGCAGTACGGTTCTGTAATATAACGGCACTTTTTTTAACAGTGTACTTCGCGACAATTGATCGCTTTCCTACAGGTACCCTTCCAGATTACCTCTAGAATTAGGCCGTGTCTATCTCCTGGCAAGCAGCAGATTAATTTCTCCGAAATTCTACCAGCAGTCACCTGCCATTGGCCATCTGAAATGATGTCACAGCCGCAGGCAGAATACTGATCTCTCTATTCCCCCTGCGTTTCGTAATAACACGTTCACGGCCACCTTCTCGTGGATACACGTTTCATGGACACACGTTTCGTCGATATTAACGTTTCATCGACATTCGTTACGCGAATGTCGATAATCCTGCTTTCCTTGGGAATTAAGTTGAGCGAAATCACGAGTGGCGTAAAGCGCAGATGATTGTAAAAATTAATAAAAGTTGGTACATGCTCAATATTCAATGGGTATGTTTCTTATGCAGATGAGAAGTCACTTTTGGTAGATATTTGTGGAAAACAACAATACATATAAAGGTTGTCTTGTTTGATTGGGACATATCTGGCCTTATATGGTAGGCAGATATATCCCTATTTGGCAGACCCAGATATGGATATATAAAAAATTGGGCATAGCTGGCCAGATATGCCTTATATTAACTGATGTGCTTTATATGGCCAGGTATGCCCAATTTTTTATATAACAATATCTTTATATAAGTCTAGATATGCCATTTTCGTAAGAATTGGGCTCAAGTTCAAGTATTCTACTAAGTGAAACAATAGCTGCGTTGCTTTCCATTTTTATTTTTTAGCCAATAAACCTTTTTTGCCCTTTAAAATTACAAGTTCTAGGAGCTTTAGCTGAACCTTTTTTACAAAAGCGGGACGAGAAGAAATATAATAGCTACTACGACATTTTTTACAGACGGTAGTAAAAAAGTAAGTACAGGTGAGGAAATTATATGCGAATATCTGTACATATATTCGCGATGAAGTGGGGATGTTTGAGCACAAGCTTGTTACACTGCTATTCATGACAGTTGTAGCGCGGCTGACCAATGTAAACCTGTGACTTCGCTGGCAGACTTTCAGTAAAACGTTCGTTAAGATTAAAAATACTTGTAATTATTTAGTTTTGAAAAAAAAACACGAAAAAAAAGTAAATATATTGAGTGCATTAGTTGCCCGGGTTGGCATGAAGGCGTTTGAGAAGTCAGTCTTCTGTTCCACTTCAAACGAGACTGAAGAATTCCGCGAACCACTCACCTTTCCTGCAATAAATCTAACAAGTGCGAGTGAATCGGTCAACTTCGAATGTGGCTATAAATAGGGAATGCACGAGCTGGAGGATTCTGCCCGATCCTTTTCGGAGAATTGACATTCATATCTTACACACTGCAAAAACTTCTCTAGTGGGGAACGTTGTTGGGCTAGTTGTTTCATCTTATGAAACATAAAATAGAGCAAAAAAGACAAGAACAAAAAGGAAACAGGGGTAGCATTACCGTTCAACCAGATTTACACAATTGTCTTCTATCGGAATGAATTTCAGTTTTGGCATAATCGGATACTGATTTGATAGCTTTTATGTGTTGCTGCTTCGCGTGTGGTGTGCATATATGCTTCGCTTTTCCTGAGTAAATCTAGTTGAAGTTAGCGCTTGTCCTGTTTACTTTTTGTCCTTGTCTTTTTTGCGATATTTTATATGTATAAATAAGAACATTTCTTTGATTTGCTATCGTCTTTCAGTGTTTGCAAAATGACTATCTCTGTAAACAAAGGTGACCATCTTTGTAAACACGTCTCTAGCGTATTCACTAGCTCAGAATACACTGAAGACGCTGTAAGTCACTGCCATGGCTGGAGACGTTTTGACAAGACGGAACTAAACGGGACTGGCAACCACTTCGTTTGTTTATGACCGCAGCGCGCGTGTTGTCTAGTTTCACGATCGCAAGACTCCACGACCTACCGAATCATGACAGGAGGAGAAAGGTGGAGAGTTAATGTTTTATTAGCTTTTATATGAAGCAGCGTACAGAGTAAGTCTAAGCATGTGGCAATAAGTTCCTCCCCAAAGAAAAGTGTAGCAGGAGAAAACAGGTGATAATTGCGTGTTCTCTGCGGTCCATGACGTCTCTGGTTCCCGCAAATCCCCACTTTAGGTTCATGAGGGGGGCCACCGCAGGCTTGTGGCGTTTGCCTTCTGTCTGAGCCGCTTCCTTCCTGATTTAGCGCCGATTAGGTTGGTGCTGCTGGTATTCCGCGCGCCGCTTTTAGGGCTCAAGGCATTTCGCTTTTGACGCCGATGTTGGCTCCTGGGGACGATATTATATTGACAAAGGTGTTGCTTAGAACCCGTGCCGCCAGCGAGTCAAAGTGTGAGCATGTCTCTTCCGCCTAGAGCTTTCCGAACAACTCTTTGTCCATGCAGAGTCAACCAAACTCTGTAGAGCGATTAGAATCACCGAGGGCCTAGCAGCTCTGGTACAATTATGAATGTTCAATATCAAGTAGGCTGAACTGTGCCTGAATATAATTGAAAGGTTGTTTTTTAGACTGAATACATATAACGAAGCTGAAGCCTCCTGCCATCATGTTCATGAACTAGTACAGTGATTGTGTATCGCAAACGTAGGTGCCAGTTTGGCGGTTTACCCTCTAAACCTTACCTTTCTTTGAAAGTTGTTTGATGGTTAATCATGTATGTTTGCAGGCGGCGCTCTTTCGAAATTCGTTTAGTAATTTTGGTTTAATTTATTCATCATGAATGGTCTAATTTCTGTGTAAGGTAGAGCCATAGGGTAGAGTCACCTTTGGTTATTCGTAGCAAAATTAAACATGTCACAAAGTTCTGGGTTCTATAGCCGGTTCTTCTTCTGTAGTAGCTGTAGGACCCGAAAAGATATGAATAGTGAAAGTTACAAGTGCTGTCGGACGACCAGATACCGCTAAAGTAGAGAACTATGCGTAAAACATACGGATAACGTCGGAATGATATGGCAGCAACCCAGAATCGGCAGTAACAGATCACTGGGACGTCTATTGCTCACACCAAATCGTGATGAAGCAGGGGACATCTTTCTGTGAACAGATATGATTTAACAAAAAGACGGAGTGTGCAGGCGAGCCTTTGATAGTTAATCATTTTGTGTAACAGCCGAGGCTGTGATGAGAAAAATGTAGAAAGTGGACGCAGAGGGAAACGTCTCAGTCGAAGAAAAAGAAACAGAAGGGTTTATTGGTGACATGGGTGACCAAAAGCGTAGTTTTGGCCGGCATTCAAAGGTTGTCCAAACACTCATTACGATATCTTCATTTTGAGTAATTCTGCTTTCTTCGACGGCAATAAGAAAATCGATAGACTGTCAACTTTAATGGTGTTATTTTAAGAATGTGATGACTCCAAGCTGCCATCGTGCTTTCTACACCGACCATGGGGCTTAGTTGGCAGCTGATAATAAGTGCCAAGATTGCAACTCTTGACGTCACAGCGAGGCAGATCCCGGTCGTGACGTCACGAACGAAAACCATAAGGGGGCGCCACCAAAACATTTCGGTTCTTATAATCTGTCGAAGAAAGAAAAAAACTTTCTTTTGATTGTGATTTCATTTATTCATAGTGTTTATGGACTAATCGATAAATTAATTGCCTTACAGTGTTTTTCATGCCTCGAAATTTAGCGGCTTCTTGTGGTTTAGTTGAAATAGATAATAAAAAAATGTGCTAAAAAAGATTAAAAAAATTACTGTGTTTGTTGAGGTGAGTTGGTGTTTTCGCACACCTTTTTCGTGGAGAATTTACTGGATGATTTAAGCCTGAGCTCCTGTAAACGACCGAGGCACCCTTGACTAAAAAGCATGTGTCTTGACGGAACAAAATGTTTTTGTTTGTTTCAAAGGAAAGTGAAAGTATATGCATGGCGCTTCGAATCTTGCTACTTTTCTTCATAGGACAATATATGCCTCGTTGTATCAAACTCTTATTAGAAAGCAAGCAGAAACTGCGTTGTAGGGCGATTGGGTCGCACATGACTCTTTGAATGTTACTTCTATCGTCAAATTGCTCTCTAAAAAAAAAAAGTCACGTGCACCTCAAGTGTTTTACAAAGCTGCATGTATTTGCTTTCTAAGAAGTTAATGCAACAGAGAAATGCATTTCCCTATAAATAAGAGAGATAACATTGTTTCATTAGCTGTGTCGCTTCGGGCACTACAATCAGAAAGGTGTAGTGATTAGAAGAAAAAAAAAAAAAAACACCTATAGCAAAGGTGTAATGCGAAAATTTTAAAATTTCTCGCAAAAAGGTTTGAGTTATAGACATTGAATAGTGGGCCGGTTTCACCTTTCTAGATGTTTTGAAGTTTGCTCTGTGAGCATGAGTGAGAGCGTAATCACTTGGTGAAAAATAGCCACAAGACTTATCCAGCGAGCACGAATAGTTTCCCCCGCCGTGTCAGCTTAG